CATCCGCCATAGGTCCAAAAAAACTTGGAGAGCCCTCCGCTTCGGCCCACCAAAAAAAACAACACAAAACAGGATAACGCAAAAGGCTCCACTAAAAAAAAAGCACCGACCACACATGCCAATGGTCTCAAAAAAAAATTGAGAGCCCTCTGTGAGTACTATGCCAATTTCGACAAGATCTCCATGCGACAGCAGGAGCGCTACTGCATAAAACACCCTAGAAGCTACCCCATTCTTCCATGTGCTCAAGAACAGCCCGCAGGAATGACATCCACGGCAAAGACTCTCTGAGCCTCGTGAAGATATTGTCTCCAAAACCCCAAACTCCACCCCGGAAAAGACTTGTGGCCACACACAGACATTACTCCGTTGACAAGACAGCCCATGCTAGAAAGCAGGGCAAAGAATTAGGCCACGTATATGTATCTGTGTGTGTGCTGGTGTGTGTCTGTGTGTGTTTGTGTGTGTGTGTGCGTGTGTGTTGTTTTAAAAGACCCCAGATTCTCTCTCTCATTCCCTTCACCAATCATCACAAGGCCTCCATAATGAAAAACTATAGATAAGCAATATAATAGAAAATGCAAGGTTGGCCACATTTGTGTGGTTCGACGCCAAGTGCCCACACACACGTCTGCCGCCAAAGCGGCACACTTGCACATATGCATATGCATACATATATTGTCATATATTTGAAACCATAAAGGGACGGAGGGCAGAAGGCAACCTACCTACGACAGAAGACTACTCCAGCAATAAGCCACCGACCCAACCCCCTCAAAGGTCCGAAAATACTTGGAGAGCCTTCCGCATTGGCCCACAAAACCAAAAACTCATTTACCAAAACAAAACAAATATAACAGCATTGGCATTCCCGACATTCATCTCACAGTACACACTCGCGTCACTGCCAAAGAGGAGGAAGAAGATACAAGACAACTTACCTAAGACAGAAGACTCCTCCAGCAAGAACACACCGATCCCCACTGCTAAGGTTCCAAAAATACTGGGAAAGCCTTCCACACCGGCCCACAAAACATACATTCCCCCCAAAGAGAACTCATGGGCACCCGTAAACACAATCAGCACATGCTCTAAAGCAGGGCAAAGAATTAGGTCGTGTTTAATCAACAAAAGCAAGAAGACATCTGACCACAAAAAGAGAGAATCGCTCGCTAGTGCGAGCCCGATCCTAGCCGCTCAAATCTGCCAAGAGAGAGAGCTAGCAAGACCACAATGTGTGTTGTTTTAAAATACCCCAGATTCTCTTTCTCATTCCCTGTGCGTGTGCGTATGCGTGTGCGTGTACATGTGCGTGTGCGTGTGTGTTTGTGTGTGCGTGTGCATCTGGGTGTGCGTGTGCGTGTGTGTGTGTGTGTGTGTGTGTGCGTGTGCATGTGCGTGTGCGTGTGTGTGCCTGAGCGTGAGTGTGCGTGTGCGTGTGCATGCGTGTGTGTGTGTCTGTGTGCGTGTTTTTGTCGACTCTAGTGATTCCTTGGGCTCTACACCAATGGTACCACACTCAATCTGCATACCACTGCATCTGGCTCGCATGCGACCACATTCAACCAGCATAGAATCACATGGTACCACATTCAACACGCATAGTACCACATGGTACCACATTCAACCCGCATAGTACCACATAGAACCACATTCAACCCGCATAGTACCACATGGTACCACATTCAACACGCATAGTACCACATGGTACCACATTCAACCCGCATAGTACCACATNATAGAACCACATTCAACCCGCATAGTACCACATGGTACCACATTCAACACGCATAGTACCACATGGTACCACATTCAACCCGCATAGTACCACATGGCACCACATTCAAGCCATACCCAATGGACATAACACCACAGACAGCACACATCTCCCGAAAAAAAAATCTGTGGTGGAGAGAAAGTGTCCTGACTCCTGAAACATTTCCATTGTGCCCCAAGCGATGCTGCGGCAGGGAACTGCTTGTTTTTATCACAAGAAAACAGATAAAAAGTACACAGCAAAAATGGATTCCAAACACACCAAGAACATTGGGGATCTCTATGGCGATATATATACGTCCGCTACGGGACTCTGCAGATTGTAGAAGGTTCAGCCTCCTGACGAGTTGGTGAAACTCCGACAAAACAGTCCGTTACATCCTCTCCTTTCTTCAACTTCTTTGTCCTTTTCTTCCTATCTGCCTCTCGTCGTAGAGAACTGCCGAGTGAACCATAGGCAGAGACGAAGAAAAGGACAATAAATGAGCGGCATTTTAAGGCTGCACCATCTCTATATATACATATAAATACAGAAAGAGACAGACAAACAGAGACAGAGAAACAGACA